GGTCAGAGAGACACACACATCAAATGCTCTAGCCTTAAGCAACTCTATCCCAAAATCGATTCCACTTTAGTTTAGCTTAATGCTTTCAATTGCAGAATCCTAACAATTTAAGAGTGAATACTTGGCTGCTTTTCATTTTCTTTCTTTCAACCATCACTAATTGTAAATGGTCACCACCTAATAGCTCACAAACAAATTTGATCCAAGACACTATATATATATATATATATATATTAAAAGGCTCAGAGAAGGGTGCAAAGGAACTCCCTTTAAAAAGTGAGTTTCAAGGCCAGAAGCGGAAAGAAGTACAATTTAAAAGTGAGAATACGCTTCATTCGACATCACAAAGACATGTATTAAGAACAACCGGAATGGTGTAAACAAACTTGAATAATAATGTATGATACTCATAAACCATCGAGTGGAAAAAAACCCCAATATATTAGAGAAAGAAACTATGGTCTTGGGTACCAGTAAATGCCGCCAACATTTGAGGAAGAAAACATAAAACCGTAGAATGAAAGGTGACATAATTTTACCCCATTCAAACTTGCATCTGATAATAGCAACAGAAATCTCAACAATGGTTGCGTCCTGGGCACAGAAGAGGAGACACGGGAAAATCTATTAAAATCAAAGGTTCAATAGTGTGAAAAGGAAAGCAGAGAGGTCTGATTAAAATACCACATAGTAGAGCACTCTTCGATCTGGAGGTCTGAAAAGGAACTCCAAAATTATGGGTACAATCTGGAGGGAAATATGCAGAGCAACTGCAGCGAAAAGGTGCAGAATTATGGTCTAAGATAAAATGTATCTCGTTAGGTGGTGTTCCTACTATACAAAGTCAATAGTCAAGGAAGAAAATTCGACCGAAAAGATGAACAGGCATAAGCATGATATATTAACAAAGTTGAACTATAACCTACATCAGCACAGGTCGAAGCCAATCCGAACACAGATTAGAACCGATGGTCAGAGTAGCCACATATTTTGAGTTGCATGTATGAAATTCTAAAAAAGGTCACAGGATTGTGCATGAACATGTTACTGGGTATCCCTGCTTGTACAAAGTGACACGAACCACCACGAAAGAAAACCCCATCAAACTAATCATATTTCGTAGAATCTCTGAACTTTCTTATAAGAAACCAGCAAGCAATCTCAACTGAACGGAAGAGCACCCTTTTCGTTGAAGGCATAAGCAAGTTCCTTCACACCGTAGATCCACAACCTGTCATTCGAGTGCTTGATGGTTGGGATCCCACGACTGCTATCAACCATTTCCATATCATCTTAAAAGATGGAAACTCGCTATTTGCATTTCCCCTAACACATCTCGCACAACATGGACTCATTCAGCAGGAAAATCAAATTCAACAATTTGCAGATACTAAAAGATGGAAACTCGCTATTTGCTGGGAAGATGGACTAATTCAGTAGGAAAATCAAATTCAACAACTTGCAAATGACAAAGTAAGCAAAACACAAAACCACGAATAAAAAGCGAACATAACAGAACCTGCGAAAAAAAGACGTGCTTCATTAGAAAGTACAGTAGACAGCCAGTTTACATGACTTTCTTTTCTTCGATAGAAGACAACCAACGACCGGATAATTGAGAACCAAGCATAAAAGAATTCAATAGATTATTTTGATATGTATGATAGTATTCTAGTAAGTAAATCTTGAAATGATCAAGTACAACAGTTATGGGCAGAGTAGTGAACTGAAAATTCCCATATATAGAATAAATTTGTGTCCAGAATTAACCAACCATAATAAATCATTGACACTATGTATTTGTTCTTCCAAAGCACATGCATAGGGTAAGCATTGTGTTGTTGGGCATATGAACGATTATATTGATAGAAATAAAAAAAAACTGATACTTAAAGCATTTGTGCAGAGAATTAATCTGGATAGCAACATTGAGGTTTTTGTTCGGCAGGCAAACAAAAAATTGGAAACTGAACATGCACGTTGAGCCTTTAAATCAAACAAAAAAAAAACAAAAAAAAACCCAAAATCAGCCAGAGGTACAGAGACAGAGGAAGAACAATGTCCCACCTACAACCTTAAAAAATAATAAAATTTCAAGCCTGTAACTCGAGACTTTCTAAACTTTAGATAGTTGTTTCCATTCAAACATCACAAGCTGAATTAGTGTGAGGTAACATCTAACCTACCAACTTTCATCATGAGACTCTGCAATGGGGTAACTCGAATTAAGTCAACATGGAATCAGCGATTAGTCAAGGAATCAAGGTAGAGTAAACCTTGGACCGAGCTTCTGATATCCTTAAGCAAGGGAAGAGTGAAATGTTGAGCCTGCAATACATTAGATGGAGGTAGAAGTCAGCAATATGAAATGAGTAGTTTAAAGGGCATGGATTGGTTCTGCAACATGTAGAAACAAATATCCAAAAAAGAAGTGCCAAGCAAAAAGTCGGAGACATTAAAGGTTCAGAAATATTCACCGGTAATGCATGTGAAATGCTGACCAAGTACTGTTGCTGAATGTCCCTAAACATTCGTTGCTATTGGCGTTTTAATTCGACAAACTGCTTCCTTGCCACCACCCTCAACATAAATTTCTCATCTGTCGGGGTGGCGCTCTTACATAGAACTTATACGATTAGATTACGTGATAGAAATCTTAATAGAGGCAAACAAAATCGTATAACATGGCGATAACAACTAACATAAGAACACATGTAAACACAGAAGCTACCTGAGTTGAATCCCTCTAAACTAATCAATGTTCATAAGTTACAACACAGAAGATATTAAATGTTAGATTTAACGTGACTACTTCAAATAGGGAGTTGTAACACTTTACTCCAACTGTACATTCGCATGCATACGAAAGAACTCCCCAAAAATGGCACAGATGTATATAGTAATCGGAACCCGCAATCTATAAATCCTTGCATCATTTAGACAAAAGAAAGCTCTCACTCATATTCATAGGAATACTACAGGAATAGAGAAACAAATTCCATAGAACAAATTTTCAAAGTCAAACTACACGCTTGCTCTTGCATTTCATCTCATATAACCACCTTTGACTATTCATTTTCCATTAAAAGTAGTAGTGATATTTTACCAAAAGTAGCCTTTCTCAATTCAACAAAAGATATGTGTATACATGAAACAAGAAACTGATAAAGCACAACAAATAAGGGGAGGTCAAGCACGCCAGTTTAGGAAGTAAGGGCAACAACTCTTGAGGGTACTGAACGCTGGAAGAGTAGCAGATCTGGAAAACACTTGACCATTCAGCGAGAAGCAATACTCACTTCGAAGTCATTGGCTTCATCAATCTTGAAGTCACAGCCTAAGAATCAAACCAAAACTCACCTGTACAATTATTGGATTCATCAACTTGAAGCGACAGCCTAAGAATCAAACCCAAACCAAAATTAGCCATTGGAGACCATAAAGCAAGGTCGCCAAATGATAGCAGATAAGGTACAATGGATGAGGAAATGGTAATTGTAAGGAAAAAACAGTCAGTGAGAAGCAACAAAGCATCCGGCAAAAGGAGCCAACCCAAACTGTAAATGACAATTATTGAAAAAGGCTAGCCAAGGGATTCTTCCCTTGTCTCTCTCATGCGTCATGCCTGCATTTCAAAGATCTACCATAACCTGGGGGGGAAAAAACTTCTCTCAAATTGAGAAAGAACGAAATCAAGGAGGGTAGAAACTAAATCCTAAAAGGAACTAAACCAAATGGCTACAGATCTATCTGCCATTTATTTATCCGGATCTGTATAGCAGGGAGAGATGAGGGGAAACTTAGACAGAACACAGGAGTGTGACACAGTAAAAAATGGACATTTCAGCCGGGGAGGGACAGTCGAAAAGAGAGAGACATGGAAAGATGAACACAACAAACCACCAGTTTTGCTTTCCCTTTCTCAACACATTTATACTATGAAATGAAAGTACTGATCATGCATGCAGCATGACTATCGAACAGAATATACCCAACATTCTAGCAAACTTGAAATCTAAGTATGAACATACATTTCCATCCACCAAATTTGATTTGGTACATTAAATTTCTTAAGCAAGATCGATTGAATTCCATTAAAATAGAACAGTTGATAAAAAGGGCATTGACATAGCAAAAGAGATGAATTAAGGAGCTAACCTTGTCACTAAACTGCAAGTAGAAGAGAGTTCTGATCAGCTTTGTGCGACAGATTGGGCATGTTTCTCTTTGAAGACATCTGCTGACCTACACTCCTCCGATGGCTCGGCCGACATTGGTTCCAGACCTGCAGAAGATTACTCACTAAACTGAGTGGCTTCATGACAAACGAACCCTTGCTAGTTGAAATGTCGAAGTCATGAACATCAACTACTCCATTTTTCTCCCACTACAGCAAGTACACAAACAAAAGTTCAGAAAAGGGGCAGCACACCATAAATCAATACCGCAAGGATCTTAGAACCCTGGCTGAGGCAACCTTTAAGAGCGCTGACAAAATTCTATAATTAATTAGCCCTATGGACCCAGCATAAGCAACAGAAAATGTTGTTAACCGCTAGAGCTCACAATGACATATGCATTACAAAGTGATTAATTGCTGGCGAAAGGTGGTGGAATCGAAGCTTACAATGAGAAATTTTTTTTTTTGAAAGGTGTTCATTGGAGCTCAAAGAACAGTCTTGCAGATGAGTTTACATAAAATGGTAAGCGGTTACCAAGCGAGTGATTGGCAGTGAAAAGGAGACCATGGTAAAATGACGATCTTTGGGTGTTTGATCTCTAGTACAAACACAAACGACGACATCAAGATAACACGGGAACAGAAACTAAAAATCAAGGAAGCAATTTTGACTGATGAGACACAGTGCTCAAGTTAGGTTACGTGTACAGTTTAAAGCAGGCAAAATCTGCACTATCTAGACAGGACCAACAAAATGAAGAGAAATAGAAAGCGATTACCTGCAAGCGACCGTGTACGGAAATGGCCAGGGCTAAACTCCTTTCACCTCTCTCTTACCCGCATCCTCCCTGGCTACTAATGTCGTCTCCCCTGTCGGTGCTTGACATTTCCAGAGAAGGGGGCTGAGGAGACCCACCCCAAGCCGACTTATTACTCCTTGGCTGCACGGGTGCAAAGGGAACATATAGTTAAACCTGCAACACAGAAGAAAAAACCATTAACTTTTCATCCCTGTGATGGATTCATAGAAGTATGCAACATCAATGGCTAATATCAATGAGAAATTTTATGAAATGCATTCTGCTCTCTAGCTCTGAAATCATCAATCCCCAACACTTTTGTCCGTGTAAGCTCACAAATACGCAGCTCAGCCTGCTGGAGATGCAAAACAGTATACAGCAAGTTTTCAAGTAGTGATATCCCCCGCTAAAATGCAAAGGATTCAGGAGAAAACCACAAAACCTATGGGGAACAAAAATGAAAGAAATCACGATTCTCACGACACCCCAAAGCACGTCAACGGAGGCTCACCTGAAGGTCCAACCGAGCAAGAGAACCAACTTGACTTGATCTATAAGGGAAACAAAACATAGGAATCTTTAGCATAAAAGGATCTTATTATCTCCCACCAATTTTTTCCTTTCTATTACTCTACCCAAGATCCAGTTGCAGACGCTGAACGGCAAAATCAAATTCAACAAAACGCAATCATTCTATAAGAACAATTACCATGTTGGAAAAAGTCTGTGAAGGCACTACAATTCCTGTTTCTAGGTAGCACGACATTACAATCATTATCCTGTGGTTGAAACAAACAGATTAAACATAAAAAATAAAATGGACTAAACATATACAACTCGCACAGATATAGCAATGAAGACAACATGACATATATGCAATCACAATTGGCGCAAACAACAAAAATAGGATCAAGATAATTCAAAAGAGCACATGTAGAGTAAACACAGAAGACTTGGGCTGACAGTGTAAGGGATAGAATGGTGAAATGTGTCCATAAACGATTCCATATGTGGTGTAATAAGACAAATATTGGTTAGAAATGCTAGTCTGGATTTTAATCAAAGTGGCCCTACCTCTTGCCCGAGCTGTTTACTCGCATGACCTCTTGCTTCTTCTCCAACCAAAGGCTAAAAGCAAATGAGGAAACAAAAAACTGAGCAAAATAAATAGCCAACAACATGAGGAACATGGAGAATGAAATGGACTAAAACCAGAAGAATATTAGAGAAAATGATCAAATACCGGGTAATAGACCAGGATGAAGTTGAAGGCTACCACACAGCTCCCCAATCCTCTTCACTTGATAATTCTCTGCATCGAAAACACAAATACCCAAGCATTCAGCAACCAGAGGCACAAAGAAAGAAATAAAGCAATCGAAACAAAAATGGCAGATTAACTTGTACCACTTACGTGATCGTAGATCTGCCGGGTTGGAAGGATGAACGGAGATAAAGATCGATTCTCAGAGGCGTAGGAGGTCACACTCTAAGTAAATCGCGAGGACCAGATCAGAAGACAGAAGACGCCGACCCAGTCAAGAAACAAACCCAGAACCCACCGATCTGCCCCTGTTCCTCTGTCCCCATCAGCCTTACACCGGAGAAGAACATCGGAGCCGCTACTTTCTGCCTCTGTCAACTCTACGATTTGTTGGAGAAGAGAAGATGCTCGATCACCCCTGGACGGCATCGATTGGCCAGAGAAATCCACAAAGATATGTGTAGAGATAGGGAGACCTGGGAGATCAAGAAAAAGAATCGGATGAGAGCTACGTTTGAAGAAATGGTTTCTTGTTCTTCCTTGTGATATTGTAGAAAAATTATGAGAGAGAGTAATAGTGAGACACTGACAAGGGAGAAAGGAAGGGCAGAGATAAGGGAGAGCTTTTCTTGCCACCCTCCTTTTGTCCTTCTTCTGCTGCTGCGTGAGAGAGAAAAGGAGTGGAAACTGGAAAGTCTTCTCTACTCCTCGTCATCGCTGGGAGTTGGGACCGTAACTGGCCGCTGGCCTTCCCGTTGCCGCCATCGCCATTCACGTCTCTCCGTCATGCGCGCCGGCTAGATCCTTCCTTCCCTGTCGTCTTCTTGATCGGATCTTCCTTCCTCTTCCTCTTCCTCTTCCTCTTCCTCCTTCTCACGTTACAGGAGAGTTTTCTTTCTGTCCATTTTCTTCTTTTCAAGAGAGAGAGGAGAGTGGGTGAAAGAGAAGGGGTATGCGAGAGAGAGAGAGAGGGGAAGGGCAAGTAAAAGTTGGACAGAAAAACAAAAAAGAGAGAGCTGAGGAAGAAAAGTCTTTGTTGTCAGTAAAAACTAAAAAGCCACTTTACTAAAGTAGTGAAGTCGCTGGCGAAGCAACCCAGGCAAAAAGCAGAGAGAAAAGAGAGAGGAAAGCAATGATTACAAACGAGAACTCAGTAACAATCTGGCAAAGAACAACAGTGTTAGGACGTGACTCTACCAAACAGTAAAGTTGTAACTTGTTCTTTTAAAGAGATAATTGTATCCATTTTAGGATGTAAAGCTTTTGTCCTCACTTTTTTACCACCATCATATTTTGAGCTTTGCTCACTTTTCCCAAGGGTCTGAAACAAAGTGAAATGACTAATGAGCTTTTACTTCTTTCCAACAGCAAATTTCACCATTGTGTCCTTCCATTGATGCCAAAACTGAAACCAAAAGAAACAAGCTTTAACCTACGATAGGACTGATTCAGTCTGCACAATGACACCTAAAAGGAAATACCACAAAGTCCCAATTTTCCGCCCTGCATTCAGAGAACTCCAAAACGGAGAAGCTAAAAAGCCTAAGCCAGCGAATCCCATGCTCTCGTGACTTCCCTTTCATGTCATCCATACCCACAAGCTATCACTATATACAATCCATCATATTCAACATGAACTCCAACAATTTATTCTCGGAGAATAACTTAAATTGGCATAGCAGAAGCATTTGGTATCTTTGTTTAGGAGCCATAGTAATCTCAATTGGTAGCATTAGGCAGAGCAGATTTAACAGTAAGTTATTTCCTTGACGATATAAGAAATGATGATGAGTATCATGTTTATGCATCAATTTGGTATACCTTCCACTCTTTACGACTTGAGAAACTGGCTATAGAGTATAGCCGAAGCGACGAACCTCGAAGCGATAGCGAAATCAGCATGGACCAAAATTCGAAAACCATCATCGGAGCTCCAATTTTGAAACAAATGGGTAAAATTATATGGTGAAGAGATTACGCTTACTAGCTTCTTATCGCGAAGGGTTTCCTGTAGAATGATTCTGAGCAAACGGGTTCCGACTGATTCGTCGGTTTCCCGGTCACCGGAATAAGTCATCTTGAATTCGAGGGAAACCCTTTACCCGTCTCGCTTCCTCGTTCATAATATTAACGAATCGGAGCGGGAAGAAACGGCTACCGGGGACCCGCCATTTTGATTGGAAGTTGGAACTATTCGAGAAAAGGTGAGTTGGAGCCATGAGATTGGTCTTGGAGTTGGAAAGCGAAGGTTTGTTGGCCGGCGGCGACATGTTTCCGACGGATACAAAGATCTCGCAAGCGAAGCGATAACTTAGCGACATTCAGATTACAAGAAGCCCAACGACTGGGAAGCAGTTACCGTCTGGCCTTTTTTTTATGGGCTGCCTGATCGATGGGGAAATGGAGCGGGCTCCCCGTTAATGATGATGAGGCCCATTGGGTGTCGATGTTTATGAAGTGTCTAGCACCGTCACACATGAATGATATTATCACGATGCGCAGGTCTAAATAACTGAATTATATGGTTCCCACTGCCACTACTAAGTTTAGAGACAGAAAAATGTAACAATTCAACTGAACACTGTGATTTAGTTGTTTCTATATATATAAAAAAAGTTATTTAGTTGTTACGAGAAAAAAAAGGTTAAGTGGCCAGTAGTATGCGACAAAATCGATATTTATATGGTATGCAGTGTAGTTAATCCACTTTTTGACTTTTTATTTATCATTGAATCGGCTTTCAACAACAAAATAATAACTAGGGCTAAATGGATATTTCATGCAAACAAATTCAATGGAGGCCTTACCCCTTTGCTTAAGTATTGGCTTTCAGCATATACTACAAAATATGTTGGCTCCTCCTAATGAAAATCACTGTTTAATAATTCTATCGGATGTCACGTTATTTGATAATTCATTACCATGTTTACAGAGTCTCTTTAGAGTTAGTTTTGAGCGATAATCATGAAAGTGTCACATGATAATTCATGACCACGTTCCTCTTAATGAAATTCATTGTATGATAATTCATTATCATGTTCATAGTGTCTTTCTAGACTTAGTTTTGAGTGATGCCGATGATATGTTAATGTGCTTCTTGATGCCTTCGTCTTTGGGCACTTTTGGATGTGAAGATCAGAAGTGTAACTTGTAAGTTCACACAACTCTCGACTAAAATGAAGTAATGAACTAAAATTGATGTTTAAAATTTTTATTGTGCAATAGTTCAGTTACGAAAATGATCCATAGATAACTACATGCTTACAAGCTTCGTGCTCACTACACAACAGTACATTCGTGTAACGAGGGTTTTGTGTTTTCTTGTTCGCAAAATCAAAAGCATACATCAAACACTTCAAATTTAAAACGATCGATTACACATTGAGATACAAATTGACGTTTGAAAAATCACTAGTTCCTCAAGGAAAGGCTTCAAATTTCCACATCTTATTAGGCAATTAGTGAATAAGAACTAAAAAGATCATATTAAATACTGGACTGGGTCTGGGTAGGAAGGGTAGTTCGTTCATTTCTCAACTCACTGGGACAAGGGTCGGCAGTAGAAGACGAGATGCAAGTTAAATACTTGGCCGAGTTGAACGCTATTTTTCTTTGATGAGTTGAACGCTAAACCAGTCGTGATTAGTAGGGAAATGGGTCCAAATCAAGAGGTTTTGTAAGTCACGTTGATACGGGACATTGCTAAATCAGAATTATGGATCTTTCCTCAACTTCCACAATCTGAATGCAATCAGCTCGCTATGTTGAATGTTCCCCTGCCTGGATCGGCTGGTGTATAAAAAGGCAGAGTATGTTAACCAGAGAAGTCACCAACCTTCTCTTCTATTTCATCATACATATCTAAATTGAGTTCCGCCAAAGCATTCCACAAATGGCAGTCCCGAAAAGCAAGTTGCTCTTAGTGGCTTCCGTCTTCATTCTCGGCGCTTTGGCTTCTCAGGCCATGGCACGCTACACCCCTGACGAGGCTTCCATGCGCCTTAGGCATGAGCAGTGGATGACTCGTTATGGACGAGTTTACGGGAGTTCCCACGAGAAGGAGGTACGATACCAGATATTCAAAGATAATGCGGCTCTCGTCGATTCGTTCAATGCCGCTGGAGACAAGCCTTACAAGCTAGGTACCAACCAGTTTGCGGATTTGACGAATGAAGAATTTAGAACGACTAGGTGCAGGTTCAAGGGTCACATGTGTTCCCCGCAGGAAGGATCATTCAGGTATGAAAATGTGAGCGCGGTGCCGACCACCATGGACTGGAGGAAGAAGGGAGCCGTCACTCCGATCAAAGACCAAGGCCAGTGCGGAAGTTGCTGGGCATTTTCAGCTGTGGGCGCAATGGAAGGAATTACTCAGCTTAGTACCGGCAAATTGATATCTCTTTCGGAGCAAGAGTTGGTTGATTGCGATACCAAAGGAGAGGACCAAGGTTGTGGTGGCGGGTTGATGGATGACGCTTTCAAGTTCATTATCCAGAACAAGGGTTTGACCACCGAGACCAATTACCCCTATACCGCTGCCGATGGATCCTGCAGTGCTAGCAAAGAAGGAAATCCCGCTGCTACAATAAAAGGATATGAAGACGTGCCTGCCAACAACGAAGTCGCATTGATGAAGGCAGTGGCTAGTCAACCGATTTCTGTGGCAATTGATGCAGGGGATTCCTCGTTCCAGCTCTACGAGAGCGGGATCTTTACCGGTGAATGCGGGACTGAATTGGACCATGGGGTGACTGCTGTTGGATATGGTGAGAGCGGTGGGATGAAGTACTGGCTGATCAAGAACTCTTGGGGAGCTCAATGGGGAGAAGAAGGATACATCCGAATGCAAAGAGATGTTTCTGCCAAGGAAGGGCTTTGCGGCATTGCTATGCAAGCTTCTTACCCCACTGCCTAGAATCAAAGCTTCTAAAATATCCATCCAATCACTGCTCAATGAATACGTTTATGTTTGTAAAATACATTTGTGAAGTACTTATGTAAGCATTGTATACTTCGTAATGTTGTTGCTCATTGTTATATCTGAGAAACAAGAGGACATGGCTTATGTGCCTATACCTTCAAGTTATCATGTGACTCTATGTCCAGTAATTAAGATGTAACTTTCTCTATATTTCTTTTAACATAAGTTTTTATTGCACTTTTGTTCCGATCTAAAAAAATTTAATCATGTTCCTATCTTCTAGTACTATTTCTGATTCATTGCACGAAGAGCAATGTCTATAAGAAACTTGGACACGTCATTACCGATTGATCAACGAAGGAATCCTGGTCTTGAGGATATGGAGATCCTGTATGGATCGAAAATCGTTTGTTTGGAACAAGGGGAAGATCAAAGCTGTATGGATTGGATCACAAGGTTGTTTTATGAAATTTCATTAGGAGATTTGGGAATGAACTGGCCCACATTATTGCTCATGCTTATGTTGGGTGGAATCAAACCATTCGTGGGTCTGAAGGCCCCCTATCTTACTGTTTGGGCTTTTAGCCCGTAACGCCTACTCAAACGTTGTGTAATCCGTCTCATTTTATTGAAGACTTGCACAGGTTTTAATAATGGTAATAATAAAAATTTGACGAAGGAAAAGAGGCGCAAAATACACACATATGCTTAGCAAATGCACAAGAGTATATTCGCGGTAGAGTTAACAAAATTAGGACCAAAATACACACATATGTATCTAATAGCTTCCAATGCCTCTAAAATACGGGATGGAAAGCCAACCATCTTGGCAAAGATTCAAAAAATTCATTCTTCAGGTATAGTAGAATGTTCCTACTGAGGAAGGATATCGAGGAGAGAAGCTCTCGATTTGATCAATCTACTCAAAGTAGGGGTGGAAATTGGGGTGGGTGTGGTTACCCGCCCCACATTTTGTGGGTACTCGCCTGCGCTAAGCCTCAGGGAGTAAACCGCTAAAAACTTTCTTGCAAGATTTTGCCTCCTTTGATCATACCATTCCAGTAGTGGTTTTTAGAAGTTGAACATCTGGCAGGGTACGACTTTTAATCTTAATATTATTATACCTAGAATTAATACTATAAATCTAACTAAACATGTATATGTTTTGTCATAAAGTCAATTGGAGCTAATAAACCATAAAATCAAGAAAGATATAATCATTATTAATTCAAATTCAAAGCATTCAATTCTTCAACATCTATTAGTTTACAAGACAATTACTATTTTTAACACATTCAATCATTAAATAAGATATATAGATATATTATTTGTGGGGCTAGTACGAGTATGAGTATTGCCGGGGAGTTTAAAACCATACCCTTCCCATTCTCATTAATTATTTTGCAGGTTTTACTCTTACCTTCATTGTACCCAATCAATACGAAGATTTTTCTGGTTAACTGTTTCGGGGCCGTCAGTTACCCACAATCCTATGTTTAATTGCTAACAAATAGTAACCCAGAAAAAAATTATGTACCAACTTAGAATTAGTTCGACATCATTTTATGTAAAGAATTAATTATAGATTAGCTGATCATCGATCAGTCCATTTCACATGAAATTGATGGGGAGAAAAGAGATATAAAAATAGGTTTAGCAAATACATGAGAGGGTACTCGTGGTAGAATCAACATAATCATGACCATGTACACTTCTCTCAATATCTATCTACCTATGTATCGAATAGCTTCCCATGCCTCTAAAATCTAGGATGGAAAGCCAGAATTAATTCCTTCTTATGTCACAGTAAGATTAATGTTCTCATTGAGACAGTATGTTGAGCAGAGAAGCTCTCAATTTGATCAACCTCCTGAAAACACCCTCCAAACTAACCGTGAACAAGCCCTGACTTTGCTGTTATTCAATCAAACGTGTTATAGTACATGGAAACAGATTGAGCAGCGGAAGATGAGGAACATAAAGCGTGGTTTGAGGAGTGGAGGGTGGAACACAATGATTCAATACTAACAACCTAACAATTAAGAGAAAGTGGAGGAACATTCCACATCATCATGCCCCCACAAGTTGAGGGTCGAAGAGTCAATTCTTGGAGCAGAACTTGTTGAAGGACATCCGGGGTAAGAGTTTCGTGATAACGTCTGCCAGTTGATCAGGAGCTGAGAGATAATGTACACGTAGGAGGCCTTTGCTGACTTGATCCCGGACAAAATGGAAGTCAAACTCCATATGCTTGCCCGGTTGTGGAAGACATGATTATGCGCGAGAAATGTGGCACCAAGGTTGTCACACCAAAGTACCAGAGTTTAGCCAGCTTGAGGACCGGGCATACATTTGCGAACTACTTATGTAAGTATTATGTACTCCGTAATGTTGCTCATTGTTATCTTTAGAAAGCAAGAGGGAATGGCTTATGTGCCTATATACCTTCAAGTTATCTTGTAACTCTATGTCTAATAATTAAGATGTTCTTTTCGAGCATTTCTACTATGCTATATAGTATTGGTGTTTTAATGTACAACTTAAAGTTGTACCATAACATGAAATGTATAAGTTTAAATTGTACCATAAAAGAATTTGTACCATTATGTTATGGTACAACTTTACAACTTGAAGTTGTACCACAAAAGAATTTGTACAAACAGTATAGGTATAATCTACCATAACGTTAAATGCACAATTTCAAGTTGCACCATAAAGGCAAAAACCTATAGCACCAATACTATATAGCATTGTAAAATTCCTCGTTCTTTTCTCTATAACTATTGCTTTTGTTCCTCCCTCCCAAATGAGTTCATTTCTTAAGTAACATACGAATCTATTGCACTTTTGTTCCGATCTACCAAAAATCAATAATGTACCTTCATGATGTCCAAATTGATAATGTACCTCTTCTAGTTTATTTCTGATTCATTGCACAAAGAGCAATGTCTATAATTACCATAAGAAACTTTGAAACGTCATTACCGATTTTTCAACGAAGGAATCCCGATCTTGAAGGATATGGAGATCATGTATGGATCGGAAGTCGTTTGTTTCGAACAAGAGGAAGGTCGGAGCTGTATGGATTGGATCACATGGGTGTTTGAGTCCTATGAGTTTTTTTTTGTCAATAGATCACTCTTCAAAAGAGAATATCGTTCAGATAAAAAGAGACCAACAAAATCAAGAATCCCTACAACGCAACCAACTACGAAATTTCGTTAAGAGATATGGGAATGAACTGGCCCAATTTTGCTCATACATATGTATGTTGGATGGAATCAAACAATTTATTGGGTCTGAAGGCCCCTTGTCCAATTGTTTGGGCTTTTAGCCTGTAACGATTATTCAAACATTGTGCAATCTGTCTCATTTTATTGAAGGCTTACACAGGTTTTAATAATAGTAACAATAAAAACTTGGTGAGGGAAAATAGGCACAAAACATACACATAGTCTTCGCAAATGCCCAAGAAGATAATCGCGGTAGAATTAACAAAATAATGACCATGTGTTGAAGATGCTGTTTGATGGAACTTCAGTTCAGGGAAGGCTATTGAAGATGGAGATGCTGAAGCATTGTTGAATCCGAATCCGTTCTGGAGAAGGAAAGAGCTGGAGTCAAACTGTGTCGTTTAAGTACTTAAGGGTTTAAGTGTTTTCTAGAATGTATCGTTTGGTGTTTTGCAAATTAGTTCTTAATGTTGTTTTCGAGTCTGTAGAGGTCAGTCTGGCTAAATTAACCATTGGAGTTGTTAGCTTTTACAGATTCAGTTGGTTAGTCTTGAAACTAATTCCCAGGGATCGAGTAGTTAGAGTTGTTCATCAAAGCCGATTCCAAAGGCTTTAGTTGAGAGTCCATGTATAAAACTTGATTCCCAGTCAATGAATAAACTCGTCAGTTTGCATTTAACTTGCTTTCATAGTGGTATCAGAGCAATTGCAGGCTGTAACCAGAGCGTGTTCAATCGAAGTGTGAGCTATGTGAAATAGTGAAAGATCATGGGCTGTGGGAAACACGAGTGAAAGTGAGGATCTTGATCATTGGTGAGTGAAATCGAAAGGAGTAGAGAATGAGTGGTGACAACAGTTTCGCTCAGGTGGGGATTCCGAAGTTTGATGGGGATTACGATCACTGGAGCATGTTGATGGAAAATCTCCTCAGATCCAAGGAACTATGGATCGTGGTGGAAACTAGGTTTAAAGAAGCTGATGCGGAGTCTGAGCTGACTGAAGCTCAGAGAAAGAAACTGGAGGAAGCTCTTCTGAAGGATCTGAATGCTAAGAACTTTCTCTTTAGTTCTATTGACAAGAGCATTCTCAAAACTATAACTCAGAAGGCAACCTCCAAGCAACTATGGGATTCAATGAAGACTCGTTATTAAGGAAACGAGCGTGTTCAAAAGGCAAATCTGCAAGGGCTCAGGAGGAACTTTGAGTTGTTGCAGATGAAGGATGGAGAGATAGTGACCAGCTATTTCAACCGAGTAATGGTCATTGCCAACTCAATGAGGAACTGTGGAGAAGACATGACATACACTAAGATTGTTGAGAAGGTACTCAGAACCCTTACTGAAAAATTCAATTACATAGTGTGCTCCATTGAAGAATCCAAGGACATTGCTGAAATGTCTGTGGATGCCCTACAAAGCTCTCTGCTTGTCCACGAGCAGAAATTTGCAAAGTCTTCATATGGTGAAGAACAAGCCCGGCAAGTGTTTAATGGTGGTAGAGGAAGAGGTGGCAGAACTGGATATCAAGGCAGGGGAGGAAGAGGGCGAGGAAGAATCTGGAATAGGGATCAGATTGAATGCTACAAGTGCCATAAGATGGGACATTTCAGTCGCGAATGTTTTGAGTGGCAAAATCACTACTCAAGCTGGGATCCCTCTGACATCAAAGATGATGTTTTTTTAATGGCCTACTCTGAAGAAAAGGTTTCCAGTAGGGAAACCTTGAAGAAGGATGGTGACTGGTGGTTTCTTGACAGTGGCTGCAGTAACCACATGTGTAGTGACAAGAGTTGGTTAAATAAACTCGACACTGGCTTCAAAAGTGATGTTAAACTAGGCAATGGAAGCAGGCTAGAGGTTAAAGGGAAAGGATCTATCAAAATGACAGTGGATAGTGTTCCCCTGGCCTTCCAGAATGTGTTTTATGTGCCTAGTGTGAACACCATTTACACGAAACAAGCTGTCTTGTTCAAGCCTGAAAACCACAATATCACCTTGCTTCAAAGTATAGTGCTTTGTGAAGTCTTCCCAGCCCTTGACCAACCAAATCAGTCCATCATCATTAGTTGCCAGCTCTACTTCCCATGTATCACCATTAGCAACCTTCAATGCTGCATGGCTTCCTAGTCTGGATCTATATTTCATTGCAAACTCGGTAGGAATGTACTGATACAACAGTACAATTTTTTCAGTTTATTGATAAAAAAGAGAAGAAACCCTTTGATAAGGAAATGCAACTATGCAAGCCTACAAGTTTCATGTCTATGGAAAAGAGGTACTAGAGCTGGTTTACACCATTCACCTATTCTTCTACCCACTTCATTTAGAAACCCTATGAAAATCAATACGAGTGCAAAGTTACGTCCGTTTGAAGTTTCGGCCGAAATTAGAAGTTGATCGAATTTTTTTTTTGACCAAACCGCTGGGTGGGGTGGCGGTTTGGCCCAAAACCGCCGCCCCACCCAGCGGTTTGCATCAAAAACCGCGCCCACACCTAGCGGTTTTCGTGTAAACCGCAGGGTGGGGTGGCGGTTTTTGAAAAAGGTGGTATTTTTAAAATTTTTTGGGGTTGGGTGGTATTTTTGGATTTTTTTTTAAACAGTGGTATTTCTGGAAAAAGTCCCGTTTCGGCGCTCTAGCGCGGGAGCGGTGACCCTAGACCAATGAATTAGGTAACCTAAGTATGCAGTGCCTTTAATCCACTTTTTGACTTTTTATTTATCATTGAATCGGCTAATCGGCTTTCAACAACAAAATAATAACTAGGGCTAAATGGATACTTCATGCAAACAAATTCAATGGAGGCCTTACCCCTTTGCTTAAGTATTGGCTTTCAGCGTATACTACAAAATATGTTAGCTCCTCCCAATTAAAATCACTGTTTAATAATTCTATCGGATGTTCCGTTGTTTGATAATTCATTACCATGTTTATGGGGTCTTTTTAGAGTTAGTTTTGAGCGATAATCATGACAGTGTCACATGATAATTCATGACCACGTTCCTCTTGATGAAATTCACTGTATTATAATTCACTAGTTATATGGCCCGCGCTTTGCAGCGGGAGGACTATATGACTTGTTGTTGACTCTCACTTTATAGTGAAGTCTAAATAGTCTTAAAAAGAAGTCAATTGTTATACATTATAAATCTCTTTGATCCTAAAGGATTTGTGTTTCACAACATTAACATGCTGCAAAATGTGCAGTGACCGTAACTTTATGAAACTCGTAAGCATGGAATTCATATCTAGTTTTGAAATACATACACATCTCTTAGCTTGCTGAGCATCATTCTTAATGAAATAAGTATGTTGTACACTTCCCTTTAGACCGAGCCAAGTAATTTTCTTCATTGTTGTGTGAAAAGTCAAACGAAACCTCCCAACAAATTTAGCAAAAACAAAACACTAAAATTCATTAACTTTGTTATTTTACATGTTTTCAAGAAAGACATTCCTTTTCATCGATAATCACATGAAAGTACTTTGAAGGCAGAAAGCATTATTAAAACTAAAAATTAAGCCAAATTGGAGATTCAAATTGAAAGTAAAATATGCAACAAAAGAGTCATATCTTGGTCAAGCTTGTAAAATACCATAGCAAACTCAACTTTTTAGTGGTAGTTATGACATTATCAAAGCAAGTAAACAGGAAAAATCTTACTAAAATAAGATGTATAGTGTGTTTGCTAAAACAATCACAGAGTACCTTAAGTTGCGATTATCAAACAAACAGGGCTGCATATCAAACTCAACTATCCTTTGAAAAGAGTTAGTTGCTTCAGTTCCAGTACTTAATTAATGTTCTTTATCAAATGTTACTTAGACCAATATTTGTACTGTTTATACCACCTCCTTGTTAGTATATTCATGTTAATTATCTAAAAGGATATATATATCTCAGCGGCCAAAACCTATAATGTGAAAAATACTATCCACAATCAACACTGCATTGACTGAAATGAAACAAACTAATGAATAAACTCATATAATTCACTTGAGTCAGTGGCAACAATTATATTGTCAGAGAAGCTTGCAATGGAGGCTTTGGTTGCAATGAAAAGACAATATATCAGCTGGCAAGTTTATGAAAGTTTATTTAAGCAAATTTTTGTACCTTCAAACTTGATATTTCATTATGTTACTCACGATTAATATATGCTATAATGTACAACAACTGTTTTCGTATAGTTTAAACTAACACAATAGGACATAGTAAACACCTAAAAAATTTCGTTTTCTAGATGATGGTGTTGGAGGCAAAGAAAAAGTACAAAGAAACAAAGATCGACTTTAATTACACAACCAAGAAAAAAAGCAGGGAAAAAAAAATCTGTCTGTGGGCTTCAGGAGTAACAGAGCATAACAAAAACCAGAAGCCCCCAAGATCCATTTAACCCATGAAATTCAAGCTCCAGTTGGCATTGGATTATGCATGTGAAATAGGTAGTTAAATATAGATGAAAAAGTACTACTACACTTCTTTTTTATGAAAGCTGAAGGAAAACAAAGTTTTCAAACATTACACAAACTCGGAATTAAATAAGCCATGGTAACTTACACATTGTAAAAAGAATATATGGAAATGACCTAATTACAGAACCTCAGATGATGAAACAATGACAAAGGACACATGTAAAGATAGGAATAGGATGCCAAGTCTGTATTCAAAGCTTAACCAATGAAGAAGCATACATCATGGTAGTCTGATCTTTTTATACATGGTCTTCTTATGGCCACGCCTAGCCTTACACATCAACGGTCACCAAGATAATTTACTGTCACGATTCAGTACTATAATCCTTGGCTGCTAGATAAATCACCTTCTTGCTATAGGTATGGAATATGAACAACTGCTAATCTTTACCTTGGCAGATAGTCAAGGTTTATGTTTCTCTTAGGTTTGCCTCCTAGTGAAGTCTTACCCTGTTTTAGATATAACTTCTTGTATTACAACCTAGTAATTTCATGTCATAGTGACAATAGTTCTGGGGGTAATATGTTCTTATTGCTTAAAGGTTCTTGCTGGTGCAATCTGGCAGCATGAAAACTAACTTGTGAAGTCCAATACCTCTTTTCTTAATCACAACTAAATCATAAGAAAAAAAGTTGTAGAAATCGACAACAATCAGAGCTCACCTTGTTCTGATTAATCATATCTTTTATACTAAAAGTATTGCTCAGTTAAAACTGTACTGTCGTTCCAAGAAATAAGTCAAATAACCATGATCAAATGCCTCCCAACAATACACCCCCGACATATCAATAAATGAACTTCAACTGCTTACTAACTTGAAGTTTCAAAGAGTCTGAAAAGCTTATCCATCAACATGCAGTAGTCTTCATGTTTCAACAAACTACCACGCATCTAAATAACATCAAACACTGCTGACCTCCACCCAGTAAGCTTATGTTCTTATGAAACGCCTCAAACTTCCAGCGGTCCCCGCAGGAGATACCCGATGGGCCTGCGGAGACTAATCGATTGATTTCAATTATCAATTCTGCAAAAGATTAAAATTTTGTGTAACATAATTAGTACCAACCATTAACGATTAGAAGAGAGAGGAAGGGGATCGTGGGTTCTATTTCGTCGGGAGAAAGAAACCTCACCGTGAAGACTGGAATGGAACCGTCGAGACACTGGATGCTTCCGATCCCTGAGTGCGGTCAATTGGCAGTGTAGAACCATCTCCAACCATCTACTTCTAGGGATTTTGCTGGGAATTAGAAATAGGATCTCAGAACTCGATTTTTTGCACGAACAAAGAGATGGAGTTTGAGAGTTATTTCTCAAACAAAGAAAGGGATGGAGATTGGTAGATGGGCTGTGCTTCTTTGTCTAAGCAGAGGAGATATGAGAGGAAAGGAATTCAGTGCTTCTACGATTGGGTTGGACGGAAAGAAGTGAGAGGAGATGATAGGTCGCACGAAAAGCAGAAAGAGGAGAGAGAACCCAATCAAGTACGGGCAATTATAGTGACCTCGGGCTGGCAAGGAATCGAAATAGTCATTATTAGATAGTACACAGAGTGAACCCGGGTGTATCAAAATCCGCCCGCAGCAAATTCTCGAAATCCCATTGTGAACAGTAAATGCGTTTTTTTCGTGAGGAACAGTGCCAGCGTTTTTGGCTGCTTGCGCTTTTAATAAATTAATTATCATGTTCATTGTGTCTTTCTAGACTTTTAATGGAAAAGAGGTAGTAGAGCTGGTTTACACCATTCACCTATTCTTCTACACACTTGATTTAGAAACCCTATTAAAACCCATAGAAAAGTTTTCATCTAGTGAAACAGACTGGCATCCAAGAGTCGGAAACAGCAGAATATACAGCAGTGAAAGTTAGAGTTGATCACATAGACACATACTAAGGTAAACATCTAGAAAGGGAAAATGATCACATACTAGCAGGGAAGGTTGGAAAATATTCTTACAATTTTGGCATCTTTCAGCATGAAATCAAGCATCACTCTGAAGAAGTGAGGCTTCATCTTCTCCATATCAGAAGCATTTCCCCTGCGTATCAAGCCAAAGGTGGTTGCTGTGCTCTTCATTTGGCTACCATCCTTCATCCCAAAGCTCTCCATGTTGTTTGTCGTTTGCCCTTATCTCCTTTGCCTTATGGTTTCACCTGTATATACTATTTACTGAACCTTTATGTGTTCTCTTTTCTCACAGAAGTCCTAAAAGATCATATCTTTTGCCCTGCAGGTTCGGTTTAATACTCTGAAGATCATAGCAAGGTCCCTCCTTTTCCCGTTCCTTACATGAGCTGTCCTTTAACTTGTATTGTATCCATTTTAGGATGTAAAGCTTTTGTCCTCACTTTTTTACCACCATCATATTTTGAGCTTTGCTCACTTTTCCCAAGGGTCTGAAACAAAGTGAAATGACTAATGAGCTTTTACTTCTTTCCAACAGCAAATTTCACCATTGTGTCCTTCCATTGATGCCAAAACTGAAACCAAAAGAAACAAGCTTTAACCTACGATATTACTGATTCAGTCTGCACAATGACACCTAAAAGGAAATACCACAAAGTCCCAATTTTCCGCCCTGCATTCAGAGAACTCCAAAACGGAGAAGCTAAAAAGCCTAAGCCAGCGAATCCCATGCTCTCGTGACTTCCCTTTCATGTCATC